TTTAAAGGAATTTGATATTCACATCTCAAACGACAAAAAATGTTATTCTGTAGTATAGATTGTTAAGTGATTGAACATATTTTAATTCATATAAGTTTTTTACGCGTATTTGGATATAATTGTATATACTTTTGCATATAATGGTAAATACTTTTGGAAATATATATCGATACGTTCCTTTCATTGTAATCGTATATCTTATTGCGTCGAAATCAAAACACGTTAGCAAAATAGGTGCAGTATGTTTTTCGAGAACATTCGTTTTCCGCCATATTGTACAGTAAGGCCCCATATAACGTGTTTCCACATAACGCAGATTCGTACCATATACATATGTACGTATAATATATGTCTCATATAACGCTGTTTCTCGTAATATAAGACATATTCCTCGCGTTATAGGCGGTTTCACCGTCCATCCACGATATTATGACAATAATTGAAGCGAAGGACTTACCGTAATTCCGGTCGTCTCCACTGCACTCTCCTAAATTCCATTGCAAGTTAGAACCGGCACAATAGAACACTTCGTAACCGAAATTTTACACTTTACACTTTGTGACCGACCCTGACTGGAGTTCGTTGCGTACTAATACAAGAAATGTTTTCCTCGCGAACGCGATCGAGCCGAACAGAATGTAAACTTACAGATACCGAAACTAAGACGCAATTCGAAGCCGCACAAAATGTAAACATATCGAGCCGAGACACATTTCGTAATGGCGACAGTTATACGTGAGCATACGCAGATGGCGTGTCGCGACGAACGTTTACTATGCAATGTATATGTGTACGTACTACAGTTTTAATCGAATTACTTCAAAGTGATCACATAGTGTTTACAGAGGAGTATAAATCAATGTGAAGTGATTATAAAATTCGTTGGGGAAACGCAACAGAAGAGATTATTTCGGCCAACGAGTAAGTATATTCGTAATTAATGTATGTTAACTTTTCTGATGAATGGCGATATTCAAGTCGAACGTATCTCTCTCTCCTACACACTGTATCGATTTCGCGTTTCGATTTTCGAATATTTACGCCGTAGAGTTATGATATTACAGCAAACAAATTATTTTTTTACGGTGTCTCTATTAATGAACGAGCATCGAGTATGTTTTACGCGTATTCGATCGGAAGAAAAGAATTGAAAAGATGCATTTACGAGTCGGTAATTCGTTCTACTTCGAATATGTTCTATTCCAATTGCCAATCGATATCGATTAGAATGATCGATTGTCGCGTTTGTCAACGTACAAATTCGTCTCGATGAGTGAGTGAGAAAGTTTGTTTGCCAATTTTTCTGCCAAGTTTTCGAACGACGTAAGACATAATTTCCCCGGGATCACGTTACAGGGAATTTATCTTTGTACGATAATATATTTGGTATGTTTTTAGGAAGTGTGATCGTGCGCGCACGCGTTTCATTGGCAACCGATTCGTCTCTTTCCGTTATGTGCAGTTCGTCCCATCAATCAAGTGCAACAGAAATACAGATTTCAGTGAACAATTGAAATTTCAAGGCCAGCATGCAGCAATCATTTAGCAACTAGGTAAATCATTAAATTAGTCATTTAAATATTAAACGATCGAGCGAGGGGAAGGGAAGAGTAATATGAAACAAAAATGGAAGGGAAGTATGAATGATGTATGTGTTAACCATAAGCATGTAGTATCTTGTTAATTAATTCTGACTCTGAGATTACCTCAGACACATACACATACAAGCCTAAATACAGATCTTCTCTCTTTATAATATTAGCATGGATTATTTTTCTTATTATATCAAATAATATCAAATTTGACAATATTGATGTGTACTACATTTAGTATTCGTCTAAATTTTTAAAAGACACTGTTATTTCTTAATCTAGTATAAAAAGTATTATAAACAAGTGATATTATTGTAATATATCTTATTAAATTTCTATTTTATAGAACTTCAAGATAATCAGTAAGCATAAAGAAATGGAATATTAGAAATTATTCATTTAATATAGTATCAATAGTTACTATATTAAATGGGATGAAATATGTTTTATCACAGTATGCAATAATAAGGAAATAGATACATTAGAAAATCATGACTATTTATGAATTCTCACTCTTTTGATTTCCTTACTTTATTGTAAGAACATTTGGAAGAATAGTAATATATCAAACAATAGTATAACGAAATTCGACAATTACGTCATACTTGCCTTCCATGTGTCTGAAAATAAATGAACGTACCAACGCTCTTAATCTGTAGTTTCATAGTCTTTCCAACAATCGTATGGCAATTAAGTGCACTATAACGGAAGCGATTCTGAAAGTTCAGAGATACTGAACTGATAGCGACTCTGGATAGCCGATATTAAAGATTGCTTTATAGTCGGGCTTCTCTATGGCCCATGTAAATGAGTCGCACAGTTTAAATAGTTGGTTAGTGCCTATCGTAAGAAATAAAGTCAAAGCCTTGCAATCCTAGTTTCATTTTATATTTTTCTTCGACTTTCGACTGAAAATATCGAAAAATATTAGTTTTGTTAGAACTAATTTTTAAAATAATGGTGTATTTTTTTTATCTATAATATAGCATCTATAATCACTTATATAAATGATACAAAAAGACATCAAGTTTTTATTAAAACATAAAAAAAGCGTAAGAGTTATTTATATGTTGGTGAAATGTTCACCATTCGGAAAATGCTATCAAAGGAGTTTCATTTTTCAACCACAATTAGTTTCAAATTATAACGAATATGCACAACGAATTATTCTATTATAACGAACAGATCGCGAGAAATGTTATAATTTACAATAATTTTATCAATATACATTTCCTGTCTTGTAAAAAAAAGTTACTAAAGAGCATCATGAACATCCTTGTCAATTATATCGCAATTTACAATAATGAATATCGATATTCCGTCTAAGGTGATATAGGCTAAATAGATTTTCGAACGAACGTTTCCTCGATTCGACGGAAATAACTTTTTCCAGACTTTTTGCTCCAGTGAGGGAAAAAATGAGCGGTTCCATGTCGATTACCTCGCGCCTCGCTGTTCATCCATAACTTTCATCCCTTATTTTCCTGCGGCCAGTGAATCACGCGACTCTCGTTTCCATTTTTCCCGTAGTCGTTGTTCACGCATCAAAAGGTTCGTTACGCGATAAACATGTGTTTCGATACTACGTCTACGTCGTGTTCATGTATTACGTCATCAACTGGTTGGCGATGCGCTTTGAAATTAGTGGCGTAACGTGGTCGAGTGTCTCACTACGGACTAACAATGTCTGTCGCGTGCGCACACGCGTTTATGCCTGTCTATTGTATTCATTTACATTCTGGCAATTTCAAACCAGCGTTGATACCATCTCCATTTTCAATTAATCCTTTAACAACGATGTGGAATATTCTGACACGGAGGATTACGCGCTTCGGTTAGTTACCTCCGATGTACATTCGATGTACAGATGCTTATTATTTCGTTATTACCTTCAACTTTATTAGATTTATTAGGTGTATACGGGACTGTCGTTTCTTAGAGATAGAAAGATAGGAAGAAGTATAAAAGATGAGTTAGAAGGGCTTGAATGTATCACTGACAATAATGTTTTAAGAGATATAACTACACGATAACTAACGCGTTCGTCTCGAATAAAGAATCAATGACATTTGATTACGTCCTTCTCAATATTACTCGATATTTATCTGAAATACTTTTCGATGTCATGAATAGTATGTTTAAAAAGTAATATTCACTGATACACGCTGCACTGTTATGCGTTTGAAATCCAGTCTAGCTTAAGTGGAAATCAGGCGCACTAAATGCATATAATTAATTACACATGCGTTATTAACACATTATACGCTTTAATAACCAATTGTATCTTATTGAAATCACAATTAACACTAAGCAATGGTATTACATTTTCAAACAAAAATCTGTCAAAAATTAGAGGATCTAAAACAAGTAATAAAATACTTCTATGAGGTTTCCCAATTACAAACCCAATTTTATTACTACATATTGGCTTAATCGGATCATAACGTGCTATTACACATAGCTATGATAATTATAAGGAATAAAATCGGAGCAATTTAATTTGTTTGTAATTTTGTCCTTAAAATATATTTTTCCAAGAATCAACGAATGTTCAGATACTTTTGAGCGATAGTGTATACTTATTACTCTCATTCTTTCTGTTATGATAAAATAATCTACGTAATTGCAGTGCAGTTTATGCTCATCTATGAAGAAGGAATGGTGATTATTTGCGTTCGCTTGTACACAATAACGCGACATACTCAACATGGAGTTTTCAAATAATAATAGACCGAATAAACTAATTAACGAACGCATACGACACTCTTCGAAAGTGCACTGCTGCCAGTTGTTTTGCAATACAATACCTATTACTGTCGTTTGCTCTTTCATGCATTCACACCTACTGCTGTGTCCACCTACGAACTCGCAATTGCAGTACAGTGCTGGTGACATTTCCATTTTCAATTAATCCTCTGATGACCGCACAAAATATTTTGTTATTGAAAATTACATATTCTGATAGTTAACTTCCCGCGCGCAATGGCAACGCCATAATTTCTTTATTAGAATTTTTACAATAATTTGATACAGTATAAGAAAAATATATTTCCATTTCGAAAAAATTTATTGTTTAATGTTGTAGTGTTGTCAGCTTATTAATTCCATCTAATTAAAATAGTTGTATACATGCGTATTACATTTCTTTAGGAAGAAAGGAGAATATTTCATAGTACTATTATTAATATTATATATTTCATAACACTATTATTAATAATATTATATATATAGCATTAGATATTGATATATAATATTATTAATATAATATTAGCATTTTATATATAAAATGGTTTGTTTTAATAACAATTTTATTTTGAATTTAAATTACTTGAAATATGGATTGCAAATTTTCAAAAATTTCGAATTTCATGTGCATGTTCATACATGTAAATAATACTAGGAAGTTTATAATTTCTTAAACACTAATTCTATTGACATATGCCTTTCATTTTCTACGCATTATATATTATATCTTTTTAGAAATAAAGAAATATTTCGTGACATGCAAAAATCTCTCATAACAATTTCACTTTACATCCAAAGTACGGTAAATTTTTACATAATTTCCATACATGTATTCATATTATAAACGATACTAAACAATTAGCAATGAAAGGACATTTACACAAATCATTACACGAAACTTACATAGTTTATACTTTACATAACAGTCTATAATCGCTAATTGTGTAATATGTAACAACTAATAATTCGAAATTATCTATAACGCATCTATATATTATTAGTAGCCATTGTAATTACTACATCATTGTACTAAATATACAATCTCCGGTATTGTAAATTAATCTCGAATCCTTCAATTATTTCGCATATATACATACAGTACATGGTAAGCTCTTGTAAACGCGAAATTACATTTTGCATATCAATGCATTCATGTATAATAAAATTAGTATTATTACTAACAATAAGCTAATATAGCTCCAACCACACAAGTACTTTAAAGGAGCAGCCGTTGAATTCATAGTTTTAGTTCAGTTTTAAACCTCTTACGTCTAATCGAGAGCTTGCACCTTTCATTTATCCATACAGTGGTTTATTCTGACATAGTTACTTTACTGCTGTTCATTTACCATTGTAAATGTAAAACGGTATTGCAAATAATAAGAATGAAATGCGTGTACTAAACTGAAGTTTTCGTCTTAATTAATCAGTGTTAAAAATGCGCTTCCTCAGTAATTATCGTATTACTTGCGATTATCCTTTGGGCTTGTTGCAATCATAATGCCGTCAATTCAGATATCCCAATTCGAAGTGACATTATAAATAGAGCTGAAATCACAGAATCAGTTTTTATACTCTACAATCTACTCGATAATTATATCCAACGTGAATTTTCTAGCCAAGAACGTGAAATTCGAGAAAGTTCTGTTCTACCAATTTCATAGGAAAGTAAGAAGAACAGAAAATAATAATGACGAAAAAGAAATTTCTCCTCTGTACGATTCCAATTTAAATTCACTGGTAAATTATTTAATTTGCCAGTCACGGGCGCTCATTTGTACGGAATGTAAGTCCAGTTGCGGTATGTTTGCAAAATCAACCTTGTAACGCGGTCGAGTATTTCGCGATAGTATAACAATGTTTCTGGCGTGCTGGTTCGTTTACTCACATACGTTTATACCTGGCGCTTCGATAATCCACATTCCCAGTAATTTTCAAGCGGCGACAATGTCATCTCCATTTTCAATTAATCCTTTGATGACAACGTGCAATATTCCGGCGGCCGGGTTTACCCAATTTTCCATGGTTACCATTCAACGTGTTCGCAGCAAGACCCTTCGAAAAAGTTTATGAAGAGTACATCTAAAAGTTTGAAGAATAGATTTAACTTTCTTAATGGAATTCGAATTCATTTGCATAATTCGTTATTTTATCCATCCATTCGTTTCCTTTTTGCTCCTTATCGAACAGATTTCGAGCGGTGCTTCTTCGGTCAACCAATACCTTGAGATTTATGTTCTGATCAAATTCAAAGGGCCAGAAGATCCTGTCAACTCTTCGGCTTATGAAATATTACCAGCCATTTATGTTTGTCTTATGAAATTAGTTTATTTTCATGGTACGCGTAACTCTGTATTCATTTTCCTATAAGAGTAACACGTCATGTGCGTCTTTTTACATAATTGAACTAATATTTTCCAGGTCACAAGCTGGAAGTTGTATCGATAAATACCTTTGTATGATAGTCATAAATTTGTTAGTAAAAAGAAAATCAAATTTTTACCAACAATTTTACAGAATGTAAAAAGTAACTAGGTTTTTAAGCGAGTTGCCAATTCAAAAATATTCATTGGCTCCCATTACGTAACTATTGTGACAAATTTACAAGATCTATACAGGCCATTGCCTTACGCCTGCAGCAAATATTGAAACTTTGACCTTTTTAACTTTTCTCAAAAATCTCCAACCCATGTATTCTACATATTTTTGTCAACTTATATTTTATTTCTTTTAGAATTATTACCAGTTTAACTAAATCAGTACAGTATAGTAGAAACATCATCGAAATTGGCAATCGAATGATCGAATAATCGAAAAAATTTAAGTTAACTATCTAGTTAATGGAAGCTTAAAAAATAGATATTTAATCGGAAAGGCAGTGTTTATTATAACCGAATTGTTAATTTTCATGAATCACATTAGAGCGTTATTTATTTATAAACAAACCGTTAAATTGCTATTCATCAGACTGTTCCGGTAACATTTTTCGCATATGGTGTTCTTTCAAAGTTAACAGAACGTTCGAAACCAAACAGAAAGAATAGTGAACAATATATACCTACGCGTATACGTAATTAACTATTTTCAATATTTGTTGAGGAAAGAATAAACTCTTGTTTGATTGAAATCTAATAACGGCACAAATTAAGTATTCATCCGCAATCTACAGTCTGTTTGGAACATTAGTGTTATGATACAGCCAATGACTTGATGACAATAACGATCGATGCATATTCCGTACACTATACCTGATTATCTGTCATTTTGCATTAATACATATCCAGATCGCTTCGATGGTGTATCTATGGATTTGACTAGTTATTCATGAATCATATAAACTATAAACAGATTCAAAAACATATAATTTAAATGCAAAAGTGATGCACTACAACATCAAATATCATAACATTTCCCTTCCCTCTTTATCATGTTCCACTGGAAAATTATATTTTCTTAAAATCTACTAAATTGTTGAGATATATCATTCATGATTTATGATTTATTGTGATACCAGTCTTATTTTGATACAATTAAAAATAAATGTTAATAGTAAAAGGTTTTGTAAGAAAGTGTTAACACTTTAGAATGTCACGGCTGAGAGATAAATGTGTTATATGAAATAATTAAATGAAATAACTAACAAATGTATCCCACCAAATTTATTATTCAAGGATAGTTCGAGTGCTTAAAATATTAAAATTTTACTAAATTAAGTATTCAGTACATATATTATTATCTTAAACGTGTATTTGACTGTATTTTAGAACGCATATACATTACATGAGACATTCCTGTATGATGATGGGAGGGTACGACCTCAGTTCTAACGAATTCATGAATCCCACATGAGAAATGCAACTCAAAATGGACTAGTAAGATTAATTATCCGCGTTACGTGTATTTACAGAGCAAAGGAGTAATATTACAACAGGGGATTAAAATGTTGTAAAATATATATTTGATGAGAGATTTCCACTAGCTTAACTATTCCAATATATCATTTTAAACATGGCAAAGGAATTTTTATAACAGAGTATTCAGAGACGAATATCAAATTTCGTGTCTAAAACGTATACGCACCTCAAATTACTTTCAATAAACACGAACTAATAATTTTAGATTTTCATGTTGCTTTAGTTTTGTTTTGTGGTTGATCTTCGGGTTTCGGTCGCGTCTTTAATAGTACGTTTGCGCTTTGTTTCAACGTGACGTTTCGTGAACGCGTCAGTTTAAAACACAACGGAAAGGAGTATTAAAAAACGATCGAAACCCGAAGAACCACAAATACGTGCGTCACATAAAGTAATAACTTAACCTTTTAAGTCTCTCTGGCATGTTTTCTAATTTAAAATATATCTATTATATAAAAAGCTGCATTTCGCTACTTTTTCTATTATCCAATTCATAAATCCAAGTTCCATTCTCATTAAATAAGTGATTCAAAAGTTTTGAACGTTGATGTATATACCTACGTAATATATGAACGTCCGCCATCCATTATCGGAATCGTTGCTCGTGACGCAAGCAGCAGCAAAAGAAATCTCACGATTAATTAGTCGGAACCGAGTGCGCAGAGGAGACGGAAAGAAAGAAGCAATCGAGCGGCACCGAGGGCTCCGACAATACCGCGAATTAAATATTCAACTCTCACCCTTGACACGGTGACGCGCGATATTAGCGTTATAACGTGGTCAAATGTTTCACGACGGAAATGACAACGTGTGCCGCACGCTGGTCTGGCTTGGGCTCACGTTCGCGAGCGCAGCTGCACGCCTGTGTACGTGGCATTGTGTCGACTGTTAAGCATTTGATACGGCCGCCTTCCTGTCGCGCGTCCATTGTCGTTGGCCCGTTCGCGACGTAACCGAGCCAGCCGGCTTCTCGGTGTGCGAATCACCCAGTGATACGATATGACGATGCTCGCTTCTGTGACAGCGTTTCCCAAACTAATTTACTCGTCGTACGCTCCTCGAGCCTTCGCTCTTTCAGTTTTCGAGCAATAGACAGTCGAAATATTGTAGCCGATGTCGTTTTATTCCATCCAATTTTATCATCTATGATCGAATTTGCCTGGGTAATTTTTTTAATGGATAGTGGAAGTTTTTGGATAATATTTGTGTACGTTACTAGTTAAACGTATCCGCCTTATTTTTCACGGAATATAATTAAATTGCATGATTTCTTCATTAATCTATATATCCCTTTTACTCGTTGATAATATTCAAAAAATTGAAATTTGTTAGACACACGGTTAAAACATTTGCATTTTTTTATCTTGTTTCTTTTTTTACTTTTTATCGTGTTCCTATATCGTTAAAAAGTTACCCGTTTCAACTTTACGCCAGTCATTCTTAAAACATTAAAAGTGTTTTTGTTTGTTGAAACGATAACGAAATTGGAACACAAAAATTTGGATACCGTAGCAAGGTTAAGACGGGTAAGCTTTTTTGCATCCCAGATCTATCGATTCGCCATGTCATATACGTGCAATCAATGCCTCCACATTTATGAGACATCGTCATTTGTAATCGATACTATTATCAGAGTATAAATAATTTCATTGTAGTAATTTAATTGTCTTGCATCTTCATTCCACCTGCTCCCTGAAGTGAAACTAATAGAGGTAGAAATATGCCATTGTATAGGATGAAAGATCCGCAGCGATGGAATTTATTTATGTATTAAAAACAGAATTGATCTTTTTCTTTTTTGTAGCAGCATTGATCTCAGAAAGCAATATAATACTTTATGAGCTTTAGGTTTGATTATAAACAAAAATATCTACAAGAATTATTACTCCATAAGATATTATTTAATGTACTACTATAATTTCCGACATATGATTATTTTTAATACCAAATTTATTTTTATTGTTTACTTTGCTTATTTTATGATTATACTCTCTTCAAACTCAAGAAATTATTTAACAGCAGAAGAACAGCAATTGAATATTCCTTCAAAAACTTAACAGAATTAATTAATAATTTTCTTAATTTTTAAAAACAGTTTCAAATGCAAAAGTGCATCACATAATAAAAGCTATTTTTACATTAAACAAGTAGAATCATTTTGCAATTTAGAGAAATGTTTAATAATGAATATTTATTTAACGAAGCACATTGGGAAGCGCTGGCATATAGGTGTTTCATCCAGTTTGACGTTTGTCGGTGTACGCCTTTGTATACACGGCGCACATTACCGACCACTGTTGCATGCTTTATAATGACACGAGAATGTGTTTGTATGTGCTTCTTTCTTAAGCTAGGTGGTCGAATGCTTTTCAGTAGAACTCCAGCCGCTTTAGCAATGCCTACGATATTCGGACAATTTTTGCGTCGTTGTGTTCGTTTTCACGTCGCGTGTACTATGCCTTCTCATCTAACATGGTGTAGTCTTCACGGTTCGTGTTGATAGGTAATCGATTGATTTCAGTGATAATATTACACGCCCTGCCGCGTCTCTCCTTAACGAACCAATACTGCACGTGTACCCCTTTATTGGTGACGATAATTGATTATTTTAAGACTCTTTGCCAATTATGTTCCAAAAATAATTATAGAATTGGTGAAAATCGTGCAACAATATGTTTTTCGCGTCGAGTGCGTTGATCGTATAATTTCAGTGAGTTTTCTGTCTATTTGAGTTTGTTAACTTTCGCAACGTGTCGCAACGTTGTATAGATTACGCGTAACTAAGTAACGTGAATACGTTATTGTAACACAGTCTGTGCTAGTGTAGTTTAACGTTTCGTTGTCGATATCTGTATATTTTTGCAAACTTATGCGCTCGTCACTTTGGAAAATTTGTGAAATGTTCGCGTATAATAACGCTGTGTTAATGGGTTAATTACCGTGCTATAGGGCAATCGACAAGAAATCATTGCGCAGCAACGAGGTTTCGAAAGCAAACACGCTCTCGCGATTAATAGACAGACCTACGTTCCAGTCAACAAATCACTAGAATATCTATCGTAATTACACTGTACAGGATACAAATTGACCAGTCCGCAGTTATAGGTCGATTTTATTTGCTGTAGATGTAAAATATGCGGTGCCTTTCCCATTTCTGTTAGCGTTCCGTGCCGGAATATTAATCTTCGTTTGTCGGTTGGTTTTTATGTCGTTGCAATTTGACGTGAAAAGCATTGTAGTTTTCTTCGTGAATTTCTTTCGCCCCGCTCTCTTACGCTACGTTTACCGCTCTTTCGGAACCGATGGATCGAACTTTTTAATAGAATCTTTGTATTCGTGTATCACAAATTCCCTGGTTGAAAAACGTATGTGTTCGCTATTCAAATGTATTGCGACGTATTAATACGAGAATGAACAACATCGGGAATTTGAATTCTTTAAAAGGAATGATGGACGACGAGTGCAATAAAAATGTGTATGTTTATAATAAAATACTAGTGGAAATGAATTCACAGAATATGAAATACAGAGTATGAAATAACTAAGAACATAAAGTACACGAAAGAATTAAATATTCAGTATTATAAAAAATTGTGGATTCGGATAAAGAAAGATTCATAAGAAATTCATTTTATCTATACAAATGTTTAGAAAAAGTAGAAGTATCTATACACGTTATTGTTCATTTATACAGACAGTAAAAATATGCGCTAGATTATAAAAAGTGTGTAAGAAAAACATGAGAGGTTTATTTTTGTCGATTTCTTTATTTATGTATCACTTGATGCCTAAGAAAGTTGGAATACGGATAAGTCGTTAGATTCAAAGATATAAATAGATAATAAATTTATGAAATTTCCTAAAGAATCACGAATATATTTAATATTTTAATAATTAATACTTTTTAGATGGCGATTAGAATTCAAACATAAATATCTAATCAATCAAATGTGATATTGATCATTGATTAAAATTTGCAATCATGTTTTTCCCTACGGTATTCAAATACAATATAATTCTATTAAAGGTGTTAAAGATTTTAACAAATATATTTCATAGTTATCAATAGTTACTGGTCATATTGACATAACGATAAATATATAAATGAAAGGATATTTTAATAATTGTTGTATAGTTCAGTTTTGTCACAATTATAAAAAAGGACAAACTATCTATGATAACATATTTTTCAATAAACTATCAATGCACAAATTAGTCCTGAAGAGTGCTGCAGTTTAACAATATGTACGCAAAAATGTCATCTTACTTGTTGCATTTTTGATGACGCATTCAATTTGATACTGTATCGTAGTCCTTTCATGGTTCACACCATTCACGGCTCAAAATGGCATGTAATCGATTCCGGCGATAATTATACGCGTCAATAGTTGGAGCATGACCATGTGACGTTCATTGTTTCTCAGCATGATGATTTCTGCCGGTAATGATCAATAATATAGAGAAGGATATGGAACGCGTCGGAAATAGGGCGTATAGAGAGAAACAGTGTGAAATGCTAGCGGACATGAAACTGCCAATTACTGAAAACGCGATCAAGACTGATGGCATACAAGTAAAAATTACTGCGGAATTCGTTTTGCACCGGAGAACGTATTTCTCCTGGTAATTTTGAATTACATCGTTCTGAAACATTCATTGCTGAGAAATGTTCACTTCCCGTCATAGTCAAGATACAAGTCATTCAAATTATAATACTTTCTTCGTAATAAGTCACATAAATTTTGAATTGAACAAACGATAATGACAAATATATTAATTTCACATATATTAACTTTGATTCATTTCTTAAAATTCGTTCGGAAGAACTTCAATATCAATTCTGTTCGACCAAATAAAGCTACTACTTTCTCTCAAGTACTTTCTCTCAAAAAGAAGTAAACATTTACATAGTGCATTTGTTTCTTTTCAATATCTTAAAAGATAATTGTATTCAAACGTAACACACTGACTCGAGTATGACTACTAAATTTATTACGACGCGCTTGATATCATTCACATAATATTCAGAACGTCAAGATATTGTAATGAAGTTAGTAAACCTAACTTAAAGCTAAAAATACCTGCTGTCAGCCTTATCGCCGATAAACTAAAAAAAAAAAACACAATTCTTGCATGACCTGTAAGCTATAAAAGAAGCTCACAAAAAGAAATAGAAGCATGACAATTTCATAAAAACTTTTCGCGTACGCCCACGATCGTACGAGAACGTTACGATATAAGAAGAAGGAGAGCGCGGTGCGTTCTCGAGACTTTTAAGTTCATTTCCTCAAACTACGAAAACCGTTTAAAGTACGAAAACCCTAAAGCTATCCAAGCGTAAAGCAACGACGGCGTAATCAAATGGAGACCACGTAAGCGGTCAGCGATCGTTTTTATCTATCCGAGTTTGCGGCATGCAATCAGTGAGGCGCCCGTTGACTCGTGACGCTTCCGGTCCAGGCTTCCGGTCCGTGGAACCGCACCGTTTCCGTTCGGCTGCCCAGCCCACCGATCTGGCCGGTCGTCGTCGTATATCGTGGATCCGTGTCCGAGAAGCACTATCGAAATCAGTGCCAGCGTCTCGTCAACGTGAAACACAGGCGTCATACCAGTTCGATCCCCGGGGATAATCGAGTCGAGTGATTTTCGTTGTTGTTGCAGAGCAACGGCGTGGCGCCTCGTCTGCGTCCGTTCTGTGTCGATCGAGGATCGAACATCTAATGTACGTGCCAGAAACGAGGTTACGCGCGATTTTCGAGCCAATCTACGGGCACCAGACGATCTGGCTGCTTGGAAATTGATCGGCTAACAAGTCGCCCGAATCGTATGCGATACTCTACGATGTTCAATTAGTTGCAACGTGGAAAATACATGCATGACGCGTGTTATAGGCG